AGATCATTTAGACCTCATTTGACCTCCACGTACTCAAGCAGAGCAGTGGAGTTACCAGCGGAACCACATGGAGGTAGAGGTCACTAAGTCTCCACTCCTTACCCAAGGGAGTTAAGAGAGTCATAGTTACTCCCGCCGTTTAGCCGCGCTTCATTTAATTTCTTCACTTTGACATTCAGAGCACTGGGCAGAAATCGCATCGTGTTGACACCCACCACGGGCCTTCAGGATGCTTTGTTTTAATTAAACAGTTGAATTCCCCTGGTCCTCACCAGTTCTAAGCCAGCTGCTAAACACTGGCCGAGACCGCCCGCCGGCCTTCCCCTCCCCCCTCTGGGCCCAGCGCCGTGTCCAGATTCGCTGCCGTGGACGATGGCTTGACCCCCCGGTACCCCGGCCTTCCTGGGAGAAGGGGAGGGAGGGCTCCAGCCGAGACTCGCGCCCAGCCCTGCTTCCCAACCCAGCCCGACCGACCCAGCCCTTAGAGCCAATCCTTATCCCAAAGTTATGGATCTGACTTGCTGACTGACTTTACCTACATTGTTCTAACATGCCAGAGGCTGTTCACCTTGGAGACCTGCTGCATATTACAAGCTTAAAACTAAATGCATGTGAAAGCAGAGAATCAGAGATTTAATTTAATGTCTATTATCCCCAGTTTTAAACTCAGCATCATGTCTGCATCCCTAAAAATTGGCGTGGCCAATGTTTTTGAATATTGACAAAATGGATGGCATATATGCATTAATATCTCCGAAATGGTGCATATTACAAGGTTTAAACCAAGAGCATTTGAAAGCAGGGATTCAGAGCCTTCATGTAATGCCCAATTACCGCTCTGTTCAGCTCAGCATCAGCCTTGCACTTCCTAAAATAAATGTTTTTAATATTGACAAAATGCATGGCCTGGTTTCATTATTATCTCCCAAATGGTGCATACTATAAGCTTAAAAAGAAAATGCTTGTACAGTAGTTTGTAGCAGAGAATCTGAGCTTTCATTTAATGTCTATTATCCCCAGTTTTAAACTCAGCATCATGTCTGCTTCCATAAAAATGTGTTTCCAGTATTTTTCAATATTGACAAAATTGAGGGCATATTTTCATTCACATCATCCGAAACGGTGCATATTACAAGGTTTAAACCGAATGCAATTCAGATCTTTCATTTAATGTCTATTATCCCCAGTTTAAAAACTCAGCATCATGTCTGCATCCATAAACATGTGTTTCCAATATTTCCAATATTGAC